TCCAGGACCACATTCTAGAGGGTGGATGTCCCTCCTCGGTAAAATGGGTCTGCAGATGCCGCGGACACATCCAGTGCTGCTTCTCCTAGGCGACTCCACACTGAGTTAGGCTAGACAAGGAAGTTTGCTCCCAGACTGCAGGAAATGCTTCATGCTGGTGTCTGAGGGGAACAAATCAGCACTTTTACAGTCATTCTGGAATGTTTATTTGTTTCTTTTGTCTTTCTCCTTTTCTTCATCATTTGACATAGTCTCATTTTGAAACTCAGGCTGGCCTTGAACTAAAACTGCTTCAAGTCCTCCGGGCTGGTGTCAGCATGGGCTACACAATGCCTGGCCCAGGAACTTCCCCCAAATATGCTTGGAATGAGATTAACAAAGTCTTATTATGTAGTGTAAGGGTTGTTCTACATTAGAAACAGACAGAAGTGATTGTGACTTTCCATGATGTCAGAGTTTGTTCAATAACAATAAATTCACAAAAATGGCAGTTTCAAAGGCCAAATTGGCCTGATAATCTTGCTTTCCTTGGTAATTTGGCTGAGGCAAAGCATTTTTTAAATTTCAATCTTAATTACTAATATTAACTCTCTTAAGACATATCACGGAGTAAATCTCTATCATCTATCTATCTATCTATCTATCTATCTATCTATCTATCTATCTATCTTATTAAATGGTGGATACAAAAGATTAAAGAGGCTACAGCAGTATATTAAAAGGCTGCAGAAGTAGTCTGTAGGGAGGTAAATGGAATCTGCATTGATAAGCTGTGGGACCCAAGCCCCCAGCAGAAAAGAAGTCACCACTGTAGAGTCAGGCTGTGGATCATAGGGTTGAAAGATTCCAGCTAAGAGGTAGATGTGCAGGACTAGGTTCAGGCGTGCAAGGGGCAGGCTGATGGGGTCTGGATGGGTAAACAAGAAGACAGATGGACAGCAAGCAGTTGAGTAGACTGTGTCAGCAGTGTGGACGGCGCAGAACTGAATTCCCAGGGACAGTAGAGTTCTCTGCCTCGTGGTCTTCAGCATACACCAGGTGTCAGATGACAGGCTGCTGGGGCCATGGCCGTTGTAGCAGTGAGTGTCCTCTTCTTTACGGGGTCTAGGGGAGGAAGTTATATCCTTTCCTTGGTCTAGTGTTTCTGATGAGTTTTTTAACTTTCTTTTTATGATATGATTTTAATAGGCACTCATGTACCCTTACAGTCTCAAATCACCCCAATAAATTTGAGGCTGAAAAGCACCTTTTCTATTTCTATTATAAATACTTTCAAGTCACGACCAAGCCAGTAACAAGATGGGGCAGAAGATCTGGGATGTACTTCTGCCTTTGCTCCTCTGTGCTGCTATGAGGCCTTACAGATGGGGTCACGTCCTGAGTGTTAGTGCGTTTCTCTGTTTGTCATGATAATGATACTCTTCCCACCTACCCTCTACTTTGCCGCTGATCTGTGCAGTGAACGTCCCTGAATGCTCTCTAGACCACTTTGTGGGTTGTCGTCTCCTCCAGGAAGATTCTGGACTCCTTCTTCAGCCTCCCCAGCTAGAAGTGTCTATTTTGAAATTTCAGAACCATCCTGCCCTTTCTTTTGAAGTTGTCCATCTCTGCCCATCTTCGTTCCAGTCAATTCTGTTTGTGCCTTACGCCTTCTGCTAGGCTGTTAGTGCTTTGAAGGATGTATCTATAATTACCTCATTTCTGGACCCCCAAGGATGTTCACAGTGCTTCACACATCTAGCAGTTCTTCACAGCCTGTAAACTGTCATGTCACTGAGAGTGTCTTCACAAGTACTGTTGGGGGAAAATGATGACTTGAACATTTTTAAAAGACCCTCTTGGGCCCAGGTAAAGATCATTACTGAAATGAAATATCTGTGGCAAGTTACATGACTTTCGCCTTTACTGGGTCTTTTAGAAGCAACTGTTAATGTCACCATGCTTCTGTCTCTCTGGCCCACAGCAGTATTTGAAATGTACTTTAAAACTCTTTGAAAATGCTAGAAACATCCTTAAACATTCTCCATATAGTCAACATCTCTTTAGAAGATATGCTGTGGACCCCAAGGACTTCCCTGTTAGCCTCCATGCCAAGTCTTAGCTGTGGATGGGACACATGCTACAGTATCTCCATGCACCACATCTCTGCTGCTGTCGTGGCTGAAGTCTTCACTGTGCCATCGGGAACCTTGTGAGAATGTCTGAACCGGATCACCCCCCACCCCCCGATTCTCATCTTCTAATGTATCTACTGTTCTCATCAGCAATCCTTCTTATGTACTTACTGAGATGTGACAATCAATAGAGTTGGAGACAGGCGCGTGAAGCCCAACATATCTGCCTGGGTTCTTAGATGTTTGGCCTTGAGGAAGAAGAGTCCCTGCTCACCGAACCTCAGCCCTCATCTGCTGTGAGCTTTATGTGAGATGGCTTAGGAAAATCTGTCACTGTACTTGGGTCCTGTTCAGCACTTCCAAATCATTATCATGCTACTCTCTATTTTTCTCAAGTCACGTTTTGTCTTTAAACTATACTTTTTTCCATATGATAAACAGATTGCTATCACATTCAGCTCTAATAGTTGATAATTCTAGGACCTGATAATAATTCAAGGGATAAACTATAATTCAGACAGGGAACTCATCAGAAAATTCTATACAGCTTCTCCCATCCTGATGCTCCAGACATCCCTCCCAACCCTTAACAGCTGTCCCTCTTTGGGTCCCCTTTGGTCTCTTCTGCCAGACGCTCTGGGACCAACTAGACATAGACTTTCTGTTTAGAATTTCCGAGAGGGACTCAGGACCACAGGCCCTTCTGGTTGTCGGCGGCTGTTTTGACCTGTCAGGACATCCATGTTTGGGAACCTTAGGTGATCTGCAGGGCCCCTCCCAACTCTGACACCGTCTTCACTTTCGAGGGTTACTTCTCAGTTTATCACCAATACACGCTAACATGAGGAAATAGTCGCCATGGTGGGAGCAGGGGAAGCTGATGGTATTTTTATTCTCCGATGTCCTGTGGACATCACCTGGTGTACAACAGAGATCCCGGCCTGAACTCAGGTTGCCTGAAGAGCCTGATGAACAATCTGAGCATTTCATGTAACTTCCCTGGGCTTTAATCTGTAATAAGGGGGCTCAGTCACTGTCCAGCCTCCTGTTTGGCACTGTGCAAAGACAATGGGTGCTTATTGGTGTTTTGTAAGTGTCACAGGACACGACACAGCACTACAGTCAAAACATTTTATGTCCAACACTGAACAATAAAATACAACCAAAACAACTATTTACACCAACTTGGAATTTGGAACGTAAATTATTTATAAAGTAGGGATTTGCTCCTAAGTATGTTTTTGGCCTTCAATTAAATTCTTTTTCAACTCAGGCTCCATGCTACAATGGCTCCGGAATTAGAAATAATAAAACATTAGTTACACTGGTGGGTAATAGTTTTATTTAAAATAAGATGAAGTGGTAACTCAGTGTCTCCCAGGACGAAGTGAATGTCCTCAGGAAGCCATTCAGAGGCGGCAGCCTTTGCTATAGGCATTAGATTGGTGGCTGAGATACATAGCACAACTTACATTTTACGTAGCAGATTCCCCTTGCTGTTATGTTTGAGCCCCGCAATTCCTTTGGGAATCCTCGCTATAACTCCTTTTATTGGCAGTGGGACTGAGAATCAAAGAAGTTTGTTTGCTTTAAATCCCAATCCTCACAGGAAATGACAAAGCCGGAGAAGCTCTGAAGCAACCCAGGGCTCAGGGCAAGGGTCTGCTGCCAGACTGTAGACAGTGTGGGCTCCAGCACTACATACAGTCACCGCATATGAATGGGAGCTGGGCCTACTTCATGGAGATAGGATATGCAAAGGGTTTAGCATGGGGGTAGGCACTGACACATAATAAAAACTGGATATTCCTCGTCTTCCACCTCATTTTCCGCTGAGCACAAGGGTGTTGACAAACACAGCCACAGGCATCTTCCAACTTACGCATTTCCCCAAACCACCCAGGAACACACCCCTAGCAGCCCAGTCTGGAACTGACTACACTGTCACTTCCCTCTCATCTCGTGCGCCCTGGGTGTTGGGGACTTTTCTCCACTCTCCCTTCCCCTCCCTCTGTCCTCAGAGCCTTGCCATACTTCCTGTACCTGCGTTCCAGCCTCCCAGCTCCGGAGCCTCCTCTGCGCATCAGGTGACTATGGGGGTGAGGCAGTATCACATGGTTGTATCACTTCAGAAGGGAGGAAAAGAGAAAAGGCTGTACCCTCTCAGGGAGATGCAGCTCATCACTCTAGGGCTTGGCTCCATCACTCGGCCTCTGTCACCCTGGCCAAGCTCCCCTGGAGTTAGTTGGCTTTGCTCTGGGACCTGGGGCCGTAGTTGTCCCAGGCTCAGGCAGCCTCTGTACCATCTGAGAAGTTGGTAGGAACACAAATTTGCTGGTGTTCCACACCAGCCCTACAGAATGAGAGTGCTGAATGGGGAAGAGGCAGTTTGTGCTCTTAGGGAATTCTGCAGGCATTCTGGTGTGTGTTAAGATTTGAAAACCACGGTTTTAAAGTAAAAAATATGAAAGAAAGCAGAAAGTCTAAGCATTCGGCTTTGATTCTTGCCAAGCACTGTGCTGACCTTTCAGGCTTTTGTCAAAGGCTGTATGCTGGCTCCACAGACTGGGGTCTGGGGCTCGTGGAGGGCTGGAGGTACTTAAGCAGCTAACTTCCTTTTTGTTGGACAGGAAGGGACTAAAGAGGCAGCCAGTCTGCTATTTCCTGAGGACTTACTATGGACTGTGCCCTTGGTACCCACTATTTCATTTAATTTTTACTCTAACGTCCTCTGAAGTAAGAGAATTTATCTGCATAGATGTAGAAATCTGGAGTTGTGCTTTGAGGAAAGAGGAGATAGATGGGGTGATGCTGATGCAGGGCCACGGAGGACACAGGCTGTGTAAAGCAGGGGGAGAGCTCATGTATTGAATTATTATGCCACAGATGGGTGAACCAAGGCCTGGAAAGGAGACAGGACCGTGCAGAGAGCCGATGTCTACCAACGCCTACTGACATGCTCACCCATGCCTGATCGGTAAACAGTTGCTTGCATTTGAAAACCGTTTTTGAACTTCGTATGTTAAAACGTTTTTGAATTTATAGAAAAGTTATGAGAACAACAGCGTCTCTTCCATTCTATGACTCTCCACCTTGCCTTTCTGTCTCACCATCCTCGAGACCACAGAGGGCAGACTTAAACTCTGCATTCTGAGTCATAAGATTTACAGTCAGTCGTAAGAAATACTACAGACATTCCCCGTGTATCCTTGAGGACATTTTGCCCAACAGGAAGATTGTGTGCAGAATTTAAATATTTGTTTAAGCATTTTCCTTCTCTTTTCTCATTCAGGCTCAACCTCATTCAGGACAATGTTCTCAGACCTCCTCGGAGGAGACACTTGAACCTTCTGCAAGACCTTCTTCAGCCCCCCTGGGGCCCTGCTGTCTACTGAACAGGTGGAAGTGGGTGGAAAGGTCACGGGTGCAGGGTTGTAGGAACAGGTTGTAGGAACAGTTTTCTGAGACTGTCCTAGTGAGGGATCTGGAGCCCAGAGCCAATCTCTGCAGAATGAAAACTCACCCTGTCCACACGCTTTGCTGAGCTGAGCATCCGACCGACCGACCGACCGACCCTTCTCTGACTCTGCTCCCTTGGCCGCTGCTTCACGCCTCCTCCCAGTGGCCGCTCACATCAGCAGCTGACTACATGGGTGAGTGAATGAACTCCAGGCAGGTGCATGCCGCAGAGGCACTCTTCCTTCGAAGGGCACCTTTGTTGCCTAGGCATAAGAAGAATAGCCAGGGCCAGCCAACCAGAATCACAGCCAAGCGGTGTGTGCCTTGCTGAGGGAAAAAAGCTTCTTAAAGCTGGCTGACAGGATGGAGTGCTCCAGAGTAAGGTTCTGGAACCTGGGTGATGACAACTCTTTTAAGTGTTTGGGAGTGCTGGGGCCCTGTGGCAACCTGTTCTCGCCTCTCTGACTTACTACAGTCTTTCCTATGTGAGTTGAGAGAAATTCAGTTCACATGTTCCTGGACGATTTGCATGATTTTCAGCAAGATGCCACGGTTGTGGTTGCACCATTGGATGTTGACAGTGTTGCTTTCTTTGTTGCATTTGGAGCCCAGTCCCTGACGGAAAGCCAGCTGGTCCATTACTGGACGACGAGCGAGAGCAAAGGGCACAGTGTCTGCGGGCGACGTCCGCCAGAGCACTGCAGTGTCTGTCCAGCGAGGAGTGAGAGATGTCACAAGCTACAGGAGCTCTGCCAGGCCTGCTGGCAGGACCTGGGAGAGGTGGGAAAAGCAAGGCGCTGCAGCAGGGCTGCGAGGCTTCTGGGGCAGAGGAAAACGGGGGTTGCCAGGCAAGGCCAGCACCAGGCTTGCCTCCTGTTCAGCAGCCTGGGAAAGGTAACTTTCACCTCGCGGTCTCTCACTGTCGTCTTCTGGAGCCCAGGATTTTTGTAGACCCAAAGAGACTATTAATTTATTGTAGGAATCTTTAGTGTCTTATTATGAATAATATTTGGCACTGCCTAAATAAATGTTTTTCCAAGAAATATTTTTGCCCCATAGTCCTCAATGAGAGATCCGTTTTACACAGTCATCCAGTACCGTGCATACCAAGTGACCGCAAGCGAAGTCTCACAAATCAACGTTTACCCTTCCTGCAGAACAAGTACGGCAATGCAGAGGCCTTCCTGTAGAAGCTGCAAGGCTTCGATGGGGGTAGGGGGAAGGACAGTCCATGTAAGCTGTAGTGCGGGAATGGTAAGCCTGTGGACAGCAAATCTGGAGACTTCCACACTTCACCTGGTAGGCAGAATTGGTTTAAAGTGGGTTGCCCCTGAGGATAAGATCTAAAAATAAAGGTTGTCTTACACATACTTGTGAAACAGGGGCAGTCATCGCAGACAGTATTTTAAGTGAAGAAACTAAACATCAAAGACAAGTGTTGTATGGTTTCATTTATATGAAATTTCTAGAAAAGCAAAACAATGGAGAGACAGAAAGCAGGCCAGAGGTTTGCTGGGCTAAAGGAATGCACAGAGGAGGGGGCTGTGTGGGGGAAGGAGAGGGTTCTGAAACCGACGATGGCCGCGTATCTGCATGCACTTAGTAACACCGCCCAACTGTACAGTGATAGCGCACAAACACACGGTATAAAGGTTAAAAGCTACGCGAGGCGTGGGGACTGACCAAACTAAGCCTGACATGGAGGCGATAGGTGATTTTGTTCATTTGCACTGTGTCCTTCAGGCATGCTGACTCCGGTCTAAACCTCTCAGTGTTTTATTGTCTCCTCACACCATATCCACAGCATCATTAAGTTACGCGTGGTTTATAAACAGCTAGTGGAAAACCATAAGAAGGAGTAGGTACACGCTGCTTAGATTTATCTTGGAAACTAAATTCCTTCATAAGCAATGGGGTTTTATAAATCCAAGCAACTGTTAGATTTATCTTTTGTATTTTGTAATGTTTGCAAGGGCGATATCTCACCATGTTGTCCAGGATAGCTTTGAACTCTTGGCCTCAAGTGGTCTTCCTGCCCCAGCTTCCTGGGGAGCTGGGATTGTGACACCAGCTGTCTACGTGCTTATATACAACAACCAGCAAATGCCATGAATAGACCGTAGTGAGCTGCAGTTCCACGCACACGTTTGTCATATTTACGGCTAGTTTATGCTACATGCGAAGCACGGAGAGGACTGTTTTTCTTTGGGGCTTAGGATGGGAGCCCGCTATGTGCGGTCCAGGTCCCTGGCTTGCTAAACAGCTCTGCGGCTCCGCCCTTGCTCCAGTTCCATCGAGATAGTCCTCCGGCCTCCATTCCAGACCTGCAGAAGCAGATGTGGCCAGGGGTCTTCGTGTGCCATTCATACAAAGTTTCTCCAAGTATCCGGGGTATTTGTAAGCCTTATTAGCAACCACACCCTTTGGTTATTCAGTTCTGAGAGTGAGTCCCAAAGACGTGGACCCAATTTATGATTAAAACGCCATTTCTTGTAAATACGTGAAAAAATACGTTATCAGAGAAGAGGACCTTGTTTCAATAACCATGGCACTCGTGGCTTCCTCACTTTAGACAGGGGTAAGGTAGTAGATGGCAGAATAGAAAACCTTAGATGCTGAGGCCCTGCACTGGTAACCTCAGTTCTTCAGCTTTTCAAGTCTCCCAGCCCCTTTTAGCAAAATGGAGAATGTGCCTGTTCTTCTTGCACGGCTGCGATGATATTTGCCCAGAAGCTGCCGAAGGGAGGGGAGATTTATTTTGTTTCATGATTTCAGAGAAATCTCAATCCATCGAGGTGGGAAGGCCCGGCAGGGGCGTGGCTCTGTCTATGGTAGGAGGAGCAAGAGACCCGGACTGCCTTACAAGGGACGGCGCAGAGTCGGGGTGGAGGGTGGGGCGGACTTCAAAGGCCCACCCTAGTGACTTCTGTGTTGCCAGACAGGCTCCCAGAGGCTTCAAAATAGTACCACAATCTGGGAACCCCGAGCACGGAACATGAACCTGTGGGGGATCTTTCATGTCCAAACCACAACAGAGACTGTCCTCCACGGATGCGGCAGTTGCTTGACACTATTAATTAATCCAAGCCAACCCTCTTGTATTTGCACTTTGAGCCCAACAGCACATTCACTTTTACATAACTGAAGCCAATGTGTAGCTCTCTGCTCTAGACTCCCAGCATCTTTTCACATCTCCACTCAGTTGTCGAACAGATGCCGTGACTTCACGGAGATGTGTATCAACTCCAATTTTACTAGGTGAGATTTTTCAGTATGGCGTTTCCTACCCTTCCCTGCCTTTAGTTACCCCGCAGCCTGGCTTGTGCACCTACTTTGGCTCTTCCACACCAGCTCATTGAAGGAGGACCTTCTTTCTTGGGTTCCGGGCCCCTCTTCCAGTCCAGAGCATCTTCCTCCTCAAACTCTGGCCCTGCATCCTGCAGACACTGCTGTAGCTGCTCGTCCTCACGGCACAGAGACTCCAGCCTTCCCCCCACAAAAGCAGCATCCTTCTCTGTCCCTGGGTTCCCCCTCCCAGCCATCCTCCAGAATCCCTCCACTTTCTTCCTCAGTGGTGCCTCTAGAGCAGCGGTTCTCAACCTTCCTAATGCTGCGACACTTCAATACAGTTCTTCATGTCGAGATGAGGCCCGCCCCCCACCCACCCACAGCCATAAAATTATTTTCGTGGCAACTTCATATAACTGTCATTTTGCTCCTGTTATGAATATGTAAATGTCTGCGTTTTCTGGTGATCTTAGGTGACCCCTGTGAAAGGGTCGTTTGGGGGTCGCGACCCAGAGGTTGAGAACCACTGCTGTAGACAGAGGACTGCTTCCAAGCGATATTTATTATCTCTCCCTTAGCTCTTGGGTACCCTCTGCTGTCTGGCTTCTGTTCCAGACACCCCTGAAGGACCCCGGGTTCCCACATCCAGTCAGTCTGTCTTCTGCTCACGCCTCACTCAGCCATCTTGCTGGCTTTGCTTCTGTGAGTGTTTTTAAGAACTCTGTTCCCTTGCTCTCCCCCCCCCCCCCGCCCACTTCGGCGGCTCTCCCACCTCCCCTCCCTGCCGTACTGTGTCTGTCCGTCTCTCTTCCTTGTTTTCTCCGGGGATGCCAGTGTGGCTCAGGAACCATGTGTAGCTGAAGTACCCAAACGCCTGGCTAGCGGTTGGAACTGACAGGTCAGGGGCCTGCACTATGGTCAGCCTCTCCTGGGCTCCTGTGCCATTTCCCTGGATCGTGTTCTTTAATGCTTCTCAGCCCACCATCCCCACTGTTCTCTATCTATCTACCATGTGGTTCTCTCAAGACCCCTGTCATTCTTAGATACCCTGGCACACACAGCCTGTTGTGATCTGGCCCTTGCGTAGTTCTTGGATTGGCCGCTGACCCCTGACTCTCAATGTGCTCTGTAACCAGAGGTGCACTCTTTACACACACACACACTGGCTTATAATTCTGAGTATGGCAGTTCCTATTACTGAAATGCCCTACACGACAGCCCTTCTAAACTCACCTTCATGGCTGTGTGTGGTGGCGCGTGCTTGTGACCCCAGCACTTGGTAGGCTAGGACAGGAGAAACAAAGGCCACAAAGTTTCAGTTCAACCTAAATCATACAGTGAGATCTTATCTCGATATCTAGAAACTGAAAAAAAAAAAAAAAAAAAAACCAAGAACACCACCACATCCCAAAGGCTCTCATCTTCAAGTCTTGGAAGCTGCATTGAGCATCCCAGCTTGAGCCCAATGTTTCCTCTCTGTCCTTAAGGTGCCCCTGTGTCAGCCACGTGGTTTAACCACCCTCAGCACTGTGGTTATCGAGGACTAGCTGAACTCAAGTTGGAGGACCTGAGTGTGCCTCTCCAGTCTCCAGAGAACAGGTGCAGAATGGGCCCTGGGTGCAGCGTGAACAGAACCTCCAAGATTCTTTTATAGAAAAAAAGGAAGCCAGAAAGTCAAGAATGACCACATTTTGAATAACGGATTCTGTTTAGAGGGAATTTCCCAGGAAAGTGGCAGCAGAGAAGGTGCACAATTGTCCCCATCTCTACTTGAGATGTCCGGTCACAGGGAGAGGATAGAGTGGTAGGGAAGTCACGTTGAGGCACTGCACAGAACTGGAGAGAGTTGGGCAATGAGAAAGAAGATCTGGCCCTGTCTCTAACATCATATCAGAAGATTATGAAGTTTCTGAGTGCCAACACACAAGTAAGCAAAGATGGGTGGGTTAAAGGTAATCTAAGACAGAACTTGGTGCAAATTGGGGTGTGAAATGTGCAGTAACAGATGTTAGCCACCAGGTGACACTAGAGGACTTCCTTCAGCATAAACAGGGTTTGTATCCCTTCCTCATGCTAAATGCAATTCAGAGATTTGGAGAAAGTACTCGTTTTGGAGGATGCGTTGAAACTATTCATTAGCTGCCTTTGAATATGTACATTTAAAAAGGTCAGCCTGCTTCCACCAGTCTCAAAGCATTTAGAGGTTGTCTCCATACTTTTCCCAGCACCTTTGGCTCTGACACCATATCCTGGACACAGGCGAGGAAGTGATCTGTCTTGGTCCTAGTGGGACCTCTTGAGTACCCCTCATTCTAGAGGATGGGTATGGATGGCAGGAAATTGCGTGGGTTCTTTGCAGAGATCTGCCCCCACTTCTGGGCTCTGAGCAAAGGCAGGGCGTGGAGAGGAAATTCTAGACCATTATAAGTCTGAGTTTGAGAACCCCCTCTGACAATCTGGTGAATGTCACAGACCTTCCCATCCAGAATGATCTTTTAGCATACGATTTCCACCAGTCTTCAGTACCTAATGTCTGACAATCACACTGTGTGATAGTTACATGCCACAGCAGCTTCCTAATGTGTAGCAAGACTAGAGTCCACTAAGGAGAAGCTGTGGCCGTGAAGAACCCCACCATTGTGCTGGTGGTACCCAGGAAGCCACCGACTGGGTTTGAGCTTTCCCGGGTGCATGACCGCCCTGAAAAGATGCTGAAGTTTGAAACTGGGCCGCGGCAGAGGCTAAACCCTCACAACCCCAGCCAGT